TTAATAACTAAATAAGTTGACCAAACTATGACCCCTGACCTTTTCAAAAGGTTCATGACCTGGGTGACCCATTCCTGGCCAGCCTGGGTCATGACCTGGCTCTGGTCCTGAGGGTCAGCATACATGACGATGGTATTGGCGTCTACCAGAAGACGCTCCTCCTTCTTGGTCACTCCTTCCTCAATGAGAAGTACCTTGCCTCCTGCCAGTCTCACTGTGTGACCCAGCTGCTTGAACTACAAGGGAAAACCGACAAGCGACAAGCCATCTCTCAAACTCCTTCAAGCAGTCTGTTCAATTGGGCACAATACCGCGGATAGAGGGTCGACTAAAGAAAGTGATCAATTTAGAGAAGCAGAAACTGACAAGCATGATTTCGTTGTCATTGGGATCATTTGGGGGCATTCTTTGTTTTGCTTTTACGGGTCCGACGTTTGAGTAACTACAACATATACTTCGTAGAGTGAAATTTTCTTGACACCTGTACCTGTTTCTGCGCCAGGAATATAGCTGTCTTTCCTTGGAAGAGTGTCCTACGGTCCGGGTTCGCCTGAAAACACACATCATCTTCCTTGATGGCTGTCTCAGCCACGACTGGCTGGAAACTAAAAGATAAAGATTCAACTTGATCACAAAGTGGAGTTTTTCCCCTTTTTCTTCTCTCTCTTTTAAAAGGCAAAGCAGATCCACTAACTATAGCCAGTAAATCTCACCTTACACTGTATCAATCCCAAGGAAATACCTCAGGGCAATTTACATGTACACATGTATTTGAGCAGTGATATACCAGATACTTAAAAGCACCGATATACAGTATGTCTCTTAGTTCAGTAATATGCACAAGAATGCATCGATGATTTTCAAATGTATCTGAATCTCATATCATGATCGCTTTTTCAACTACCCTGTACTCAGATTTAGTCTCTTTTTATTTCCAGTTTGTATTAAAATATTTTTTCGACTTTTATGCTCGGTTTTTACTTCTTAACGTCTTGTCTCTGTAATGATGCCTTTACGACATGAATGAGCCTTTTTTCTTTACCGCTGCGAACAGAATGTCGCTATAGATGTGAAAGCCAGTTCACACTCAACGTGAAAGTAAACACACGTGCAACGTTGTCATGTCAAGTCAAGTTTCTGCTCGGTAATATGGCAAAGTTGAATACTTTGCAACTGAAACAAATTTCACTGTGATTGCTTCGTGACAACAGATCTGCATTCCTGTTCAATTTCAGGCCGAGTGTGAGCCAGCCTTCATGCCACAAATGAAGCTAATCTCACTCAGTGGGATCAGGCATCTGTGTGTGGTTGGATGCTGCTTCCTCCATCCTGCGTAAATATTCCGGAGTGACAACAGGCCGACACGTAACCAGGGCACCAATCACCTACAAAATACAGGTTGCTCTCCAGCATTACAAAATCCTGCAACTTTCGCTTGTCTTTTGTCACAGTGAAGAAAAAATGAGTAATTTTTCTAGTTCCGGAAGGATTCAGGTTTTACAACTGGCTAATCATGGTACCTTTCTAGTTCAATGAAAACTAATCACTAAGAGCATTTCTTCTTAATCTATTATATTTTATTAGTTTTGGTTTCGTGTTGTTTTTCCTCTTCAGCATGTCATTTCATAAATATCACTAATTGTGACATGTTGAAAACCAACAGAAAAAAAAAGACTGACGGCGATAATGATGGTAACTAGAAATATCGGGGGGCAAACTTGAGGAAAACAAGGTCAATGACCTGTACACATTCATTTTGGAAGTGTGGAGCATAGATCAACTAAATATAATTATCAGAATGCTATCGTACTTTAATGGTGACTGTAAGCTGCGTCATGACCAGGTGCGTGCATTCTTTACTCCACTCGGGCACCACGTGACCTCCCAGTTTACGGGTCAAGGACTTCAAGGCCTTCTTGTCGGCCGACGGGAGAGATGAGAAGGCTACCACCAGCGGCTCGTAGGTCACTCTAAAAGAAAAGAAATTAGAACTTGTCTGTCTTTCTCGCATCCATGTCCTGTTGCCGTTGGTGTAATGGTCGTCGGCCGTGGCCATTGGTCCTTAACCAGTCGCGGCCGGTAACAGAATTATTCCAGGATAAATTTGTCCCAGGCATGGTATTAGTTGCAGCTGAAAACAGCAAACTTTTTGGAAACAAAAAGAGAGCACAACCATAGTCCTTGATGACACTTAACGATCATTAGTTCAAGGTTTGTGCCACTTTTTTTTACTGCACCATCGCTATTGTGAAGCTGGCAGGCAGCGTCAAAGAGTAACATTTGCTACAATGCCCAGCCATGGCCCACAACACTTGACAGCTCCATCATCAACCTCCACAGACTATGGGAATTACTCAAACATGGGGACAAGTAGACATCACAGAGCCTTTTGTGAGTTAAAGTTGAATATGTGGTACGCAGTTCTTTAACTTCAAGTGAACATAACAATTTGAATTCTCCATACTAAAGACACTGTTGCTATGCCTCGTGATTGGGGGCAAGCTTTCGCTTAGTTACATAAGAGACACCTTGCACCAATACAACATCTTCAGTGGATAAGAAGGGCACAAAGGAACCAGACCATTCCAGAGATGGTGGTTGCTATGCAAAAGTTTGCCCCGAATCGCAAAGTACATGTACAGCAACAGTGTCTTTAGTCTGGGGAATTCAAATTGTTATGTTTGTGTGCAATCAGACAACTGAGTATACCAGATTTTATTCAAATCTATATGTAACTCGCAAAAGGCTTATTGCTAACACATACTGTACATGTATATTTAATGAGCATCAGTGTTACAAAACAGGAAACCCCTGGTGTAAATGATTAAGAGTCATCGATCTTAATTCATTAATTTTCAGTCACATACTATCTGTCATATTAAGACCCCCCCATCCCTTTGTCTAAGAGAATAGGAACTGAAAAGAGAACAAATGAGGATTTGTGTACTCGGCGTTATCACTTTCTGTTGTATTTTTGAAAAGCATACACAGCCCCTAACCCCTTCCCCACTAACTTATTTCCATTTTAAAAATCCTATGAAAATGATTTGTAAATGTAACAACACCCTTGATGTCAGAGACGCATGAACAAAAATTTTAGGGTGTATACATGTAACAGCAGGGCTATAATAGTCAGAGCCTGAACATTGGAAGGGCAATTTTTTTTTCGGGAGTTGAAGACATCATCCAAGTCTTGCATGACGGGAGTGAGTTTCCGGAGAAGCCGGGAGGTTATACAGGGCATGGCGCAGACAAAAAGTGATTGCAGTGCAAGCAGGAGTATGAAAACAAGATCCTTAAGGATGCCATTCCCCGGTTACCATGGTGAGCCTCCTGTCAATATTTCTAATGCACTTTAAGCTTCAAGTGTACAGGGCCTAAGACAAACAGAATGATGGCCTGCTGCGGTGTTATCTGCGAGACAACGCAAAAACGCGCACATGTACTGTCCGTGCCCCACTTCAGGATAGACCTGACGTGAGATGGAAAAAGATAGATCTGTACTTGACCGTATCACAGTTATGAATTCGCTGTGCATGAAGGGTCTAAAAGGTTTGGATTAGTTAAGGTTTGATGTCAGTCTGTATGGAATTCACTTTGTTTTCAAAAACAGAAAGCTTTCTGATGAAAGTGGACCTATTACCTGCTTTTGTTTCTCAAGTGTACAGAAAACAAACTGGTGCATAGTTCTGTGTATTTAGACGACAAAAGGATGACCAGAATATAAAGAATAGGTCATTAGAGTGCCCATCGACGGCCTATTTATCACCAAGCCCACTTTAGTGGGAGAGTGGACAGCATTTGTCACTTGTCTTAGGGCCGTGACAGGTACATGTACAACGTATATATCGGTACCTTATCAGTGAGGCAAGAGTGATATCTTCCTTGAGCAGCCAGCCACTCACTCAACTCTTCAGTGAACAAATGAACCCCCCTGTGCAACACTCAGATTGTCAGTGTGGACCACGCAATGCTAATATCTGTATAAAAGCTAGGACCATCACACTTTGCTTGCTTGTCTAACACCAAGCTCAAGGCACCAAAGAGTCCAAACACGGCCGATTACTAAACATCTCCATTATCTTAATGACTGTGTTGGATGTCCCAAATTACAGACAGGACGCTAAAGTTATATCTGCCTTCCAACACAAGTGATTCCTCGATGAAACCATCGGTCTCTCAATTTTAAGAAGCCTTCTACAACTAGCTGGTTTTTTTCACTTGCATGTGTCCTCCACTGCCTCAGAGCTAGAGCGGTCCACTTTTCTTTCACTCAGCAATCATCACTGAAGTAGTGAGTGCAAAATTAAACATGTTTGAAAACGTAACTGCGGCAGGTTTAAACTCATCATCAGGGAACAGAGATGACACAAAACCAGCTACGGTGTACTTGGTGTTGGGCATCGTATTCATGGTCGTTGTCACTCTATTTGGCCTAACGGGGAACACACTGGTTCTTCGAGTGTACTTGATGAAGACACGCAAGACAAGCACCCACATCTTGATAATGGGTCTGGCAATTGCAGACCTAATGGCCAGCATGTCACTGATTGGCTTTACAGCCGAAACTGCCTTGATTCTTGCTGGCGACTATGTCTCGGAAAAATGGCACCTCTTGACAGCTCTGAGCAACACCTGGGTAGGAGTGTCAGTTGGAATCACAGCGTTCATTGCAGTTGATCGCTATGACTGCGTGTGCCGTCTGCAAAAACGCTGGTTCAGCTGTCGCCGGGCCAAGATCGCCATCCTGTTTGTGGTGCTCCCTTCTGCCGCAGCTGAGGCTCCAAATATTGTTTGTGCCGTCTGGTCTTGCAAGGTGACAAATGTAGCTACCTTCGTCATCCAGACTACAGGCTTCATAACGGCACTGTTGGTGATCTGTGTCTGCTACAGCAAGGTTTACATGATGATCCGCCATCACACTCGCGTTGGAAGTGCCCATTTAGCCCGATGGGCGGCCTGTAGTCCGCACACAAATGCAACCGCTTCCAGTCAGTTTGGCATGACGGAGGTAGTGCGAAGACCACAGACAAATCTGACCTGGACTGGCATGGGCTCGCTGGATACTCCAGCATGCAGGATGCCATCTGCATGTTCTCCATTGAAACCTGATCCATTGCCAACAATGTGCAAGACCGTCTCGGGTGAGTGTTCAACGCAAGGTGCGGGTACCAATCGCAGGCTGCTCACAAACACCATACTTCAGCGGAGGACGACAAGGATGCTGTTTGCCACCAGTGTGGTATTCCTAATCATGTGGATGCCAAGTTGGATATCCTTAACGATCACTTACAACAGAACCTTTGAGGATGAGAATCTCTCCTACATTCTGAGTAACTTGCTGCTAATGACTTATTTTGTGAATAATGCCGTCAATCCTCTGATTTATGGTGTCGCAAACAGACAGTTCAGGAAAGACTGTAAAAGGGAACTCAACAGATTATCAAATATATGTCTCTGTTGATCAGTAAACAAATGTAATGTACCCAGTACTACTGTTTTTGTGAGTACATATACGAGTACATGTACATGGCTGACCACTTCTAAATACAAAGCCAATTTTGATATCACCAATTCGAATTGTCCCTGATCGGTTCTGTGTGACCCTAGAATAATCTTTCTTGCATCAAAGAGGAACAAACTAAGCTTTCAAATAAAGTATACACCTTGTGGAAAAAGTTAATTCATTCCTAAGGAATTCATGCCAAAACCTTTGTTTCCTTATTTCTGTCGTGACACCTTGTAGACATGCACAAGTGTACATGTAGTTTCACAATTGATTAATGGTCATGCTTAAAGTACGTGTACGTTCAACATCTTTATGGTTTGTCCATGTACATGTACAGCACATGTATATTAAAGTACAAGAGCATGTAACACAAACTACACGTAGGTGCTGTGAATGGCGATGGAAGCATAAATTGACAGGTGTAATTTCATCAAGTTAGAAAAATGTCTTTGCAACATCGGACATCGCTATGACATCTGACTTTGGACCAAACCGCCAAGCAATTCCCTGACTTAACATCCGCTAGCAAATGTCATTTACATGTACCTTGCAATGACAATGCAAAGATGTACAGTAAGAGTGTTATTTATGAAGCACATCACCACAGTCTTTTGTGGATATTGAACAAACCTACAAAACGAACTAAACTTGTGAGCCTAATTAGAATGTGAACAATTATTGAGTCACCTTTGAAACATGGACCTCTTTGTTATTTTGATGTACCCGGAAAACTCACCTCCACTCAGTGTTGTAACCAGTCACTAAATTTGATGACTCAAGTCATTTTAACATTGTGACTCGAGTAGAGTCAAGTCATTAGGTCAAGAAGTTTAGTAAAGTCACTTTGTGTAGTCGAGTCGAGTCAAGTGCTGAGCTCCAGTTAATTTGAGTTACAAATTTTTGAACAAAATACAATAAAACACAAATCATTTTTTAGTATTTTTCTTTTCATTCAGACATAAGTAAATTAGGGTGACAGTTATCTAGCTAACTAAAATTTTGCTTTTAAACCTTTCCGAGACTCGAGCCTTATAAGATTGTACTCCAATGAGAGATTCGAGTTGAGTCCTTTACCTGTTGGGACTCAAGTCGAGTCGCCAAAATTGTGACTCGAGTCGAGTCGCTGACTCCAGTCATGACAACTCTGCCTCCACTACTGGTTCCATGAACTTCCTAGTATCAAAAACAGGACAAATGGCCAAAATTGTGACTCGAGTCAAGTCATTGACTCCAGTCATTACAACTCTGCCTCCAGNCTTTGTGGTGCTCCCTTCTGCCGCAGCTGAGGCTCCAAATATTGTTTGTGCCGTCTGGTCTTGCAAGGTGACAAATGTAGCTACCTTCGTCATCCAGGCTACAGGCTTCATAACGGCACTGTTGGTGATCTGTGTCTGCTACAGCAAGGTTTACATGATGATCCGCCATCACACTCGTGTTGGAAGTGCCCATTTAGCCCGATGG